TTATTAAATTTGCTAGTAATCTATTTTTTTATATACAGTATATATAACAACTACATTAAGTAATAATATATTGTCAATTAATTTAACCCAAACCTTTAACTATATTTAACCCAAACCTTTAACTATATTTAACCTGAACCTTTAACTATGCTTTGGCAAATTATATGAACAAATATTGTGTCCTTTAGCATGACAATTTGAGCAAGTATATTAATTAGCATTTTCGTAATTAGTACTTAATAGTTTTTTAGCTTCTTGTTCAAGTACACTCTTCTGTTTTCTACTTGGTCGGCCCTTAACTGGCATGACTTTTGGATTAATTACTTGAATAATATTTTCTTAATCTTGACTTGACGCAGTATCAGCTTTTAAAAGCTCTTTCTTTTGCTGAATAAATTAATAACACCAATCATTTACTTCCTCATCAGTTTTTGTTTCCATTGCTAATATTAGAATAGTTTGCAACAATCCATAACTTTTACTATAACGTATTCGATCTTGTAGGAATTTTTTATTAGATTCTTTGGATCCTGAAGCTTTACGTATAGAGGTAAATTGATCAAATTGGTTGAATAACATATTTTGATTAGATTAAATTGGTGTAACAGGTCTATTAGGATTATTATTATGTAGTTGAATTAGTAAAATATTATTGAAAGTGTCTTCTAGTTCATTAAAATATGCATCTTTATACCATCGTTGCATTATAAATGAGATATGGAAAATAGCTACATTTGATTCTAAAAGAACAGCAAAGTAATGCTGGCATACAATTCTATGACTAACTGGCCAAGTACATGTACATAAAAATAAACTATCTTTAAATATAAAAATATAGTGTATATTTGCAGAAACTATAAGTCTAACTACACGCCAAGCTTCTTGAATTTTATTGTCTGACACATTGTTTAGCATAGAGTTAATATGTATTTGTTGTGAGTCATAATTGTCTTCAATACATTCATCAGTAAGTTCAGGTTTATTGTCATAATGTTCTTGTAAAATATTATATGAATAACACCTATACCAAAGTGCTTGTTGAATTTGTTGCTTTATTTCAACAATTATATGAGGAGTAAGGTATTTTTCACATATTATAATAATTTCAGGAAATAATGTTCTACTTATTGATTATAAGTTGCTATTATGATCAAAGTTTATAGTCTCTTGAGAATGACTATACTTATTTTCTGAATCAAAATGCTTCTAAATTGCATTATTTAATTTAATCAAAGATGATGTTTGGTTAATACTAGACTTAATAAGATTATTGTAGCATTCTACACATTGCGTACTCTGAATTCTAGTATTAAAGACTTGTGTTGTAAAACAATGGGCCCAACTTTGCTTTGATTGGTAAAGTTTATGTAAATAACTTTCTATAGCTAAGTAAATTTTAATTAAATATTCATATCGGCATTCATATATAGCTTCTTGTAATGAATTTTATGCAGCATAAAAGTTATTCATAAACTGATTATATTGTTTACCAAGTTTTGACTATGCCTTTTTTTTATATTATTATTAATATGAAATACACAAAGGTGGTGGTAAGTTGTTGTAAATATCTTAGCAATCGCTGTAGTTATTGCAGGATCAGAATCTGAAAAAATAACACCAGGCTCATATTTTGGATTTCCTTTTTTGAGACATGTAAAAAGCTAATTAAAAGAGTCCATAGATTCATCTAGCAATAGTGCCTGAGCAACCAATCTACTTCTAGTGTAATTATTAACTACAATCACCAGAGCTAATAGTCAGTGATATCGATTAGTCTTGCAAGTTGTATCCAATAAACAAACATCACCAAACTTTGTTAATAACTGTACTTGTTCATCTAACTGCCAAAAAATCCCTTTAAGTTCACTATCCATGTCTCCAATTACAGGTTCAACCATGCAACCAGGGTCTATTTTTTTTTTGTTATAAGAGATGACTAAGTAAATCAGCAGCGTCATTTTTAAGCCTTTTATATGTACCTCTTAATCAGCTTATTACATTATAGATATTTTGTAGTTTAATAAAGTGATCGGAATATTCATTTTCAAGTAAGTTAATTATCTTACTAGGTTGAATATGACATTGATAATACAACTCAACTTTATTGAGTATTTTATTGCTTAACCTGTAATATTTTAAGGTATTACTTTTAATATTATCATCCATAGGGTAGTTGTGAATAGAATTGTCATTTAGTAAAGAACAATGTATTGTTGTTGCTTTATTACCCATTGAAAAATTACAATACTATTTGCAATTTGTAACATTTGTATCATGGTTACATTAATTATCAGGGTCAATTATTTTTTTAGGTTTCTATTGTCCAGATAAATAACATACTCAGGTAGTGTTCTACACTGTTCCATCTTCACGCGTACAGTATATCTCTTTCTAATAGCAAACCTACATTCCATTGCATACCTATCAAGTTTTTTCCCAGCTTCTTCAAATATATTAAAACTATCATTAACATGTAAATTAAATAAATATCTATAACTATTATAACTATTAACATTATTATCACTATTACTTTCACTAGAATCAGATAACTCAAGCAAAGTGGATTATTCAATATGGAGTTCC